TCTCCCGAAAACACATGGGTCACAATTGACCCAATCCAATCATCGAACTGTCGCGCTATCTACTGCTGATCGCTCGAATCTTTCTCGATTTAACGAAACCGGAGTATAACCTCCCCTGATTCTCTTCGAATTCTAATACTCTCTCGAGAACGACAATTGATCGAAAAAATGTAACCTATAGCATTGACCTAGCCGATAGACAGCAACTAGTCCGTACGACACGAAAGAACAAGTTTAGAAACTTACCTTGACGTCGAAGGCGTCGGTGGGCATTCGCTGGACGCCGTTCATTTTCGTCGAAGTGTCGCTGCCCCGAACTCGAACACTTGCCTCCCTTTTTCCGCAGCCCAGCAATCACGCCAAGCGGAGAATAATCCCGGCGTCGAGTCCTCAGGCGTCGCGACGACTCGCGCGAACGCGACGACGACACATCAAACAGTTCAAACTGCTCGGACAGCTAGGAGCCGCTTCGACGCATCCTCGTTAACGTGCGCGGGACAACTGGAAGGCGTTCGCGCGCGCCTTTCGATCCCTCGAATCTCGAATTCGACCGCAAGCCCGCGCACGTGTTTCGCACCCTGCCACTAATCCCTGCAAAAACCAAAGGACCTCATTCATTCCTGGAAGGAAACAATTAGCGTCGAGGACGCGAGACAGGGATTGGGGGGAACGTGTTTTCCAAATAGTTTTGAAATTCGTATAAGAAATACCTCGGTTACAAGGTTAAGTTAACGACACGATATGTTGTTAACGAGACCATACCTTTGTACAGTACATTCGTCACTTGTCCGAATCACGCGTATATACAGTGAGTAACTTTAATATTCGGACGCTATGAGATTTTTACATTATCACATCATAACTTCGTTTCTAATAAAACAAATAAAAAACATAATCAAGTATTATATTAAGGTATATGTGTAGTAAACAATAGTATAAGTTTTACTTACGTAACTTACAATAGTTGTTAAATAACACCATTTAAACAAAACATTGTCTGATTTTCGCGTTACTTTAATATTCGGACACTTGGTAGTGTAGCACCTTTTCTGAGTGTTTACGCAGAGTTATTTCAAGTTAGAAGGAGTGTTTGTTTACAAACACAGTTGACTGTTCGGATGATGCTAACAAGCTTTATTTCATCAGTTATTCTTCGATAACCGTTGTTACGTGCATGTGTATAATGCCTCGCAAAAGCAATACCACGTATAATATACGACAACTTGTGATTTTTCACAATGCAAAGGGGAAATCATGTAGACACATTGCTGCCATACTCAACATGAGTAAGAGTACAGTGGCAAATATCATCAAACGGTTCAAATACGAGGATCGTATAGAGTTTATACTATAGACTCTGTACCCCAAAAGGGCCAAACGAAGAAGTTGGATGCACGTGATAAGAGGAAACTAATACGAAAAATAAAGAAGGATCCTTCACTCAGTGCACCAAAATTAGCAACGGAGCTCTTAAACGAGACTGGGAAGAAGGTACATCCCCAAACAATCCGCGGAGCCTTAAAAGATGGTGGTAGCAATGGAAGAGTTGCTAGGAAGAAACCGTATGTGAATGAACAGAATCGAAAGAAGAGATTAAATTTTACTAAAGAATTTGTGTTCAAGGAAGAAACATGGTGGAACGATGTCATTTTCACCGACGAAAGTAAATTTAACATTTTCGGATCAGATGGACGAAGGATGGTGTGGTGTAAGAAAAATGAAGAATTTAAATTTAAAAATCTAAGGCCGACTGGAAAGCACGGAGGTGGCAGTGTGCTTGTCTGGGGCTGTATATCCACATTTTTACTAGGCGAATTAGTTTTTATTGACAATATTATGGACAAAAATGTGTATTTGAACATATTAAAAAATAATTTACACAAAAGTGTTACACAAACGGGAATTTTAAACGCATTTAAGTTTTATCAGGACAATGACCCGAAACATAAGGCACGCATCGTGCAAGAATATTTACTGTATAATTGTCCAAAAGTTTTACAACCACCACCTCAATCACCTGACCTCAGTCCTATCGAAAATGTGTGGAATGAACTAGAGCGACGTATCAGGACAACAATATCTTCAAAAGAAATGTTGAAACATCGGTTAAAAGAAGAATGGGACAAAATAACTATTGAATATTTAAAAAAAATCCTTAGCAATATGCCACAACGTTTAAAAGAAGTGATACAACAGAATGGCTACCTAATAAAATATTAAAGCACATATTATTATAAAAATTAGCCTCAAAATACATAGTTTCTAAAAGTGTCCGAATATTAAAGTAACACGAAAATCAGACAATGTTTTGTTTAAATCGTGTTATTTAACAACTACAGTAAGTTATGTAAATAAAACTTATACTATTGTTTACTAAACATGTACGTTAATACAATACTAGATTATGTTTTTTGCTTGTTTTGTTAGAAACGAATGTATGATGTGATAATGTAAAAATCTCATAGCGTCCGAATATTAAAGTTACTCACTGTATATTCAACTACGAAACAATTCGAATACCAATACTCTAGCATGACGGAACAAAAGCACTGAATAAATACGACTGAATTGCAAAACCATCCCTAACGAAAATTCGACGCCATGTTGATCTTAATCCGACACCGAGGTTCGTCTCGGAGTGGCAGAATCGACGACGCGATTGACGACCAGAATCGATAAGTCGATGCGACGACGAGGACACCACGCGTCCTTACGCGAAACGTCACGCGCGGTTGGCTTAGAAAATAAGGCTTGTTTGGAATCTTACTGTGCGTGGTTGATCGTCGTAACAGGATTCCGCTGAAAGGAGAGTAAACACGACGGAACCGTGGATGTCCAACGAGCTAGGAGAAGCGTGAAACAGCAACGACGAGGAATGTCGCGATGTACCAGGTTAGATTTCGATCCTCGATCGAACGCGAACGATCTCAAGGTTCTTTCGCAGACTGATTATCGACTCCCGAGCGACCGGGCTTGAATTCGATACTCCGTGTATCCGGTGGCATCGCGTCGACGACACACGAGAACCGACTAACGTTCGTCAGGGCTGTGTTGAAGGAAAACGCACGACTGCTTCGCGGAGTACCACGCTTCGCGGTTTGCGATAAGAGATTTGAACACTCGAGTCAGGCTCCAAGTTTCGCGCACGCGCAGACGTGTCCGGTTCGTCGCCGTACTTCGAAACACGTGGTACCCTTCCGACCACCGCGCCCCCTCCCCCACTTCGTCCCACTTCCTTCCGTATGCAGATAATTACTCTTACTACATAAGAGACGTTAGTAAACAGAGAAAATGATTTTAGTTTGAACTGCGATAATCAAATGTATGAATTAAGGGTTATGGAACGTTTTCAGGTTGATGGAGGAGCGTCTTCAGGGTCTGAATCTATCGCGTGTTCTACGATGTAAAGATGGGGACATAATTAGCAGATGGTAATTAAATTGAACGAGTGACAAACATTGGCAGATGGCAATGAACGCTCGTAATTCTGCATGTCAGTTTGCTTCAGGTGGAGTAAACGCGATATGTAGATCGTAGACGAATGTGATGAATGTTTATAATTATGTACAGGTATGTAGAATGGTATGCTTTTTTTTTTAGGAGGGTTATATAAGTGACTCCAATGTGAAATGGATGGAATCTTTTACAGATGAGTTCGTAACGAACAAAGTCAGAACCTATCGAGTATGATGAATTAAAAAATGAAGATAAGATAAAACGATTAAACAAGATTAACTCCAAACAATTAAAAGTTATTGAATTAAGCGGTGACGTAAGTAAGAATATTTGACCACTTATTTTTGAAACAATATTGTATCATATGGATAACATACAAAAGTCTCTGCTCAACTCTGACGAACTTCCTAGAAGGTGCTCGACGCGTATCGACGACGAAACGGAGATCCTCGAGCGTGCTCAGGAACACGTGGTGTCCTTCCAACGACTACCCTCGAGCCACTTCCTCCTGACGTACAGACAAGAGTAACAACTATTACTACAACTTCTATAAACACATCAGCAATGCACCCCAGTCTCAAAGAAAATAATTTCAGATTGACAAGAGAAGAGTATCCTGTCAGAAGGTGCAGCTGTCGCCAAATAAATCGGTTACTTTCCACCCAACGTTCGCGAGAACGACGTACAAAGAGTTGAATCGTGGACGAAACGAAGATCCACGATCGAAGAAATTCGGCATGCGAATTACGCGCGAGCCTCGGTCGTCGCTCGGGACCACCGGTTCTGACGGCTAGATTTTCATTCGCTCGAACGGCTAGAAAGGACTCGGGACCGAAAGATACCACGGACAGGGTACCGCGAAGGCAGGCTACTCGAAAACTCGACGTGTTCCATGTTCGAGGGGGAGTAAAAACAGGTTTAAGAACGTAGTTGACCGGTCGACTTTTAAATCGGTCATCCGTCTAGCCGAGTAGAAATCACGTCGATTCGAAATCAAGCACTCGTATCAGCCAGGGAGGGAGCATCGAAACTCACTAAAGATCGTTGTCGTGTGGATCAGCCGTGGTGGAACCGGTAAGTCGAACCGCACGAATTAAAAAGAAAGGTGAGCGCGTTCGAGTCCGAGGGACGGTCCCGCGACAGCGTGGAATAAGGAGGACACGTTTGCACTCGCGATCGGTGAAATAATATGTCGCGGATAGAGGCACATGGCAGGGCATGTCCCCGCCGCAGGATTATACGTAGCAGCCGGCGTTCGGGCGCTCCGCGTCGCGACTGCCGCCGCGGCTAAAAAACCATACGATGACCTCATCACACCGACTCTGTTCTCCTGCCCATGTCACTGATACTAGCTATCCTGAAAACATCGTCACCTGCCCGTCGCCTCCTGGAGGTTGTTGATACCTGGTGTTAACCGCCGTCGAGACCACTGGCGTGTCCTTTGTGCCACCTTTTGATTTAGATTCGGATTCACGTTTCTGTTCGTTACGTTTTCGTCAAGTCTACGGATTTAAAATTGTCACCTTATGATTTCTATGATCGTGAACTTGTAATAAACGCGTCGCAGTCAAGAGGTTAAATATTGTAAATAAATATATCCCTCTATAAACATAGAAAATACAAACTCACTAACTTGCTCGAGTAGCCCAAATCATGAATGTAACGAACTGCTCCAAAGGATACCGTTTGCGTTCATCTGGTGTACCCTGCTAGGAACCACGATCATCTTCGAATGTCCTTCGAGGTGTCTTTAAAAATGCCCGCCTTAGCTCCAATCTCGCTGAACTCGCAACTGCTTCCATCGCGCGAATATGCGAACTGTAAAGTTCGTTGTCCTTTCGAATCTGTAAAGTTTATGTATAAAGCAGTATAAAGTAAGATGCGTTCATTGTACTACGTTTTTATTGTCTTTAAATATATGTCTGGTAAACTGAACACAAACTAGTAGACAACGTACGTTAAAGACAGGTTTACTCCACTCCTCTACTCCACCACGCTGAAGACTAATAAAGATGGAACAGTTTGATCGTACACGTGCGAAGTGTTCGGCTGTGACATCATACTTGCGTTATGAATCTGAAAAATAGAATATTATGATGGAAGAGCATTTCCAATAAGATTCTCGCAATGTTATATTTCTTTGTTGACATTTGTGTGTTTTGACGAAAATCGTTTCTTACAAAATTTATGATCGTCGTGTACGTGTGAGGTTATGTGCGTTGAACTGTACTTTAACATCGACAACTATAGATCTTTTACAAAAAGCATATTAACAATAGATGTATATACCTCTATATAAAAATAATTTGTCAATCGTAACGGAGAATAAGTTGGTTATAACGTTCGTTTGTCATCGATATTTAAAACGTAACAATCGTTAACAATGGCTTCTGACAAGTCTGTCAATTCAAATTATACGCTTCCAACGAATGTTAAAATAAAAGTAGAGCCTGGAACGTCGATGCCTGTTCCTGTAACAAACATAAAAATCGAGCCTGGCTTATCTGGCGCTACTACTACTACTACGACTAGGTTAACTTCTTTTCGCTTGCCAAGAGATTTAACATTAGGAGGCAAAATCAAGACTGAGAAACCCAAAAAAGTATACACACCGAATTTAAATGCTCAAAGAACTAAGAAAAAAGAGTAAGTTATGATTGTATGAAATGAGTCTTATAAATTCTAATGAACATTAATTTTGTTTTAGAGATGGGGCACAAAGTGATCCAACAAAACCTCTTAGGACCAGGGACCATAATAGAGGACGTGGCAGGGGAGACAGGGGTGGCAGAGGTGATAGAGGACGTGGAAGAGGGAACAATCTAGTTCAAGTATATTGAAAAAACTTTCTTAGGGAATACAAAATTATAATGTAATATTCTACATATATTTTATTTGTTTCAGTCTAGCGGTATCTGGTCTACTGGCATAACTACTACACCAGGAGGGAAACGCAGTAGCAGTGGTGGTGGTGGCTGTAGAGATAACGATAGAAGCTCTCTTGCATCTCTAGAAAAACCAAAATTAGAATTAAACCGTACTATTGATAAAGCAGAAGAGGAAGAAAAATTGAAACTCCTATTGAGAGATGACTTTATAGACGATGATGAACCACCAGATTATGAGTTTGGCCCTGTTATGTTGCCAATGATCAAGGAAGGTGTATATTCTTAGTAACAAATTCTAACATAAAATACCAATAAATTCCATAACGATTCTAATATTAACTTATTCCAGCAAAAATACCCAAGAAAGAAGTTAAGGTACCACTTGAAGAAGAAGAAGAAGAAGAAGAAGACAAAAAGCCGATTATTTTGGAGAATGGGGAGGGTATGTACTCTTTTCTTTTTCCATTTACAAAAAACTATATAATTAATGACTACTTCCAGTATTGCCACCAAAGAAAGAACCTAAAGTTAAGGTACTCAAAACTGATACAGAGCCAAAAGAAGAGTTTGATAACATTCCTCAAATGATTGAAAATAAATCAAATTCTTATATTTTAATACAGGTAAGTTATGGAACAAAGGGTGCATATTTAAATTTGCAATTAATATCCTAATGTAACAAATGAACTGTAGTTTCCAGATTGTTTACCAGGTTTTGTAAGCAGTGCAGAAGATACTAGACCAAATCGTTCAAACCCCTCGAGTCATGAGAGAGAAAACGGAAATAATTCGCAAACAGAAATGTGCACTTTAAATGATTTGAAGCCCGGTATTTTAGGCAAATTGCAAATCTTAAAATCCGGCAAAACGCGCTTACTGCTAGGTGAAAATAGCTTGATCGTGGATGTTGGATCGCATCTCAGCTTTCGACAAGTACGTATTTAATTCGTTCGAAAACATGGAATACTATAAACACGATAACTTTTCTTTAGGATCTTCTCGCTGCGAAAGTAGATGCCAAACAATTAAATGGTGATTTAATTAATCTTGGTCCTGTCAGTAACACGCTTATCTGTTCACCTGATTGGGAATCCATGTTGGCTAAGTTGTAAATATATTTATAAGAAGTACATGTAAGTAAGTGTATCACATGTTCCTTATTGTAAAAAATACATGAAGTGGGTAGATTCTTATATTATTTTAAATACAAGATACTTTTTCTGAAAATCATGTATTTAATACAGTATACTTGTTACAGTATACATGAAATAAGTTGCGTCACATACAAATTCGGTAGTAGTAATTCCGAACTCTAAGTCAAATTTGTAGTGATCGTAGATTAAGTTCCGTTACATAACTTACGTATACGAATGCCGTAACGAGAGGGTGTGATAATAGTTTCATAGAAAGTATAATATTTGTCTTAAAGACAGAATTTACTACTTTTATTTTAATATAGATAACTCTAGAAAAATGATTTTTACACAAATTAAATTTACAAATTAAAGTCATCACGCTATACAATGAACATTAATTTATTAACTGAACTTATCAACTAAGGAGAATATAATTTCTTTATTCAATTATATTGCCTTGAAGTGTAAAAATCCTACATTAAAGTGGCACAAAAAATTACTGTCTCTATCATGTTCATATGTATTATTTCAATTGCGCTAAGTCAAGAAAACCAACTAATGCTAAAGGGCTGTAAAAATTAGGATGTTTTCATCGAAGAGACGAACTTTTTGACGATACCAATTTGTATTGTACAAGAAAGCGCAATACTATGAAATCATATTGTCTTTAATAATAAATGAAAATAAAATCGTGATACGGTTAGAGCAAGTGCATTGCAATACAGAGGTATACACACGTTACACACCCTCGATGATAATTCACACAAACCTCAATCACTTCTTTCTATACTGTGTCCTTTTTTCATTGATTTTAACGCTTTTTCCCGCAATTTTTTTTCCAGTTCCTCAGTATTACCTTCACTTACATCGGATTCGTCAGAGTCCGCAACTTTCTTCTTTTTGTGTTTTCTGTGTTTCTTATGCTTCTTATGTTTCTTGTGTTTTTTATCCTTCTTCTTCTTCTTCTCCTCTACTTCGCTTTCCTGAAAACATCAATCACAATAGGCGAATGAATTACGCTCCCCAAACATTAAATACTAACAATAGAAAAAACACTACCTCTGATTCACTGGTACTGGTTTTAGTCTTCTTTTTACGTTTCTTCTTCACTTTTTCTTCGTCTGAACTGTCGTCCGCTTTCCTCTTTTTCTTTGCGTCTTTCTCTCCTGCTTCGTCGTCGTCCGTACTCGAATCTCGTTTAGATTTCTTCAATCGAGTTTTGCCTTCGTCCTCACTCGTGGAGTCTTTTCTCGACTTCCTCGTCCGTGATTTCTCGTCCTCCGAAGAGCTGTCTCTTCGTTTTCGTACCTTTTTCGGTTCATCGTCCGAACTTGAATCTTTCTTAGTCTTCCTTGACCTGGATCTGTCTTCGCTTTTGCTTCTTTTCGTTTTTTGATCTTCGTCACCCGAAGAAGAGTCTTTCCTAGATCTCTTCGATTTCTTGGTTTCCTCTTCTAATTCTTTCTTGGATCGTTTGCGAGATTCGTTTTCATTGGTTTCCCGCTTCCTACCGCTGTCTTTTCTGTCCTTGGTGCGTTCGTCTAGTGAATCTGTGAAAGAGATCTCTTTGCGTATATATGTATGCTCTTTTTGAGGTTATGTAAGTAATAACTAACTTTAATAACTAAACGTTACCTCCTCGACTCGGCTCTCTAACTTTTTTGCTTTTCTCCACGTGTTTTCTCTCCTCTTCGGAGTCCGAGCTAGAAGCACCCTTGTCCGATTTCTCTTCGTCCGTGGATGCTTTTCGAGATTTCCTGGCCTTCTCTAATTTCCGTGGCTTGCTTTTCTTGCCTAAAGTGAAGGAAATATCGTAAAGATTTATCAGAAAAATATAGGAAAGACTTTTTTAATTTATATTCACCCTCGCTTTCGCTGTCATTTGAGTCTGTAGAACCATCGCGTTTTTCTCTCTTCGACTTCTTGATCACCTCTACAGATTTTTTCAACACGATTGGCTCCGACGTCTTTTGACTCGACTTCTTGTCGTCTGTCGCCACCTTGGCGGATTTTATCGACTTGTCATCCTTCTTCAACGGGAAAGCATCTCCGGACGAGAAGCTCGACTCTTCTTTCGGTGATTCTTCCTTATTGTCTTCTCTAAACATAAACCATAACAGTAGAAATAGTGATGCTTGCGCTGACAAACAAGTGGCGAAACAAACTTACTTTAATGGCTGTTTAACTTTAACCGCGGCTATAATGTCTTCAGTCTTTTTAAACGGCGAAGGAGTCCGAGATAAGCTCTTCGAAAACTAAAAGAAATACAAGAGTATAGTTCAGAAAATCAATAAAGAGATATTCATTGTAGGGAGATGAAGAACCGATAGACGTACTCGGTGCCTAGTTACGGGAAGTACAGTAGTAGGTTGGAGTTTTTTAGGTGAAACGCTAGGCTCTGGTTTCTTGATGGACGTGGATTCAATTTTTTTCGTCTCCTTCTCGGGTCGTTTAATCGGCTCCTCTTTGACAGGCTTCTCTTTTTCTTTACGCTTCTCGTCCACGTGGTCTCGTTCCCTTTCGCGATCGCGTTTCTCTTGAGACGATTTCCGCTCAATCGACTTTCTGCGCACAGACAACAAATGGATAGATTTTTAGA